ATCGACCCGTTTGCAGACCAATCTCTTGATAATTCTCTTCCCAATCATTCTTGCTTGGTACTCCAGGTTCCCCGTCTGGAGTATAAAAACGTACACCTAGAGTTGAGGGAAGTGCCCAACCCCCGATGTTTATCTGACGCCCTAGACGATCGGGGAGAATGATACTAGCAGAACAAAAGACATCTGTCTTTACATGCATGGGTCTCCATGCTGCCGTATAGTTATTGATCTGGGTAAGGTCAAGTTCATAAGCACCAGTGCTGTTGTTCGCGGGCGACGTTCCGAATTTTTCCAGAAAAGAAATCTTTCCGTTGATGCCAACAGCGGATGTTAATGGAATGATTGGCCCTGTAAACTCATCAGTCAAGCGGTCAGATGCTTTTAGTGTTGTAGCCTACCTCCAATGAGAAACTCATATTTTCCGGCAGAATTTCCGCTCTCAAAAGTCCAGCTGTTGAGTGGGGTTCCTATCCAAGTGTAATAGGTAATCAAAGACGGCCCACCACAATATGTATCACGATTACCGGTGCAAAGCATGACACATTGCGAGTCATCAACGATCGCAGCCTTGTGGTTGATAACATCCTGTACGTCACCGCAGACTGTGAATGAAGTCAACACAAAGTCTCATCTGGAACTTTACAACAAAGAAGAACAAAATTAGATGCCACTGGCAAATAAGACCCCAAGGATCACGCAGTATTCAAGTAGCTCTTAGGCGCACCAAGTCATAAAAAGAGCTAGCAGCACAAACGGAAACTCACAGCATTGATTCGAATATTCCATACCCCCAGCACCATATCCAAATTCAGAACACAAGCTAAGACAGTTTGTGGCTGTGTTGTTATTTGTAAGTGCGATTTGGTAAGGGAACACTCTATTCACAGCATCGTCTCTGCATGGTGATCAGCTCTAATCTCTTGTGTCACAATACTAGCACGTTCATATGCGACGAACAACTTGAAATTGAAAGTTGCACCTACGTGAGACACCCCTTATATTTCCAATTGCCTGGTAAACTCGTATTCTGTATTACGGGTAGTTGTCGCACGATCAAACTTGTTTGATTAGAATAAATGCTCATACGATCGCCTATTGAAGTCAGGAGTTAGCATTATTTTACATTGCTTTGGGAAAAGAACAAAGATTGTATTTTAAAATGATGGTACAGGTGTGTAGGTGCGGGGAAAAGCGATGCTACAGATGGGGAACAGAATTGAGGGTGCAAGACCGCAAATACTAACCTCCACCACACATTTGATTTGCATTTCCGCCGCACGGAGTGTTGCACTGAGAATCTGAGGATGCCAAGGCTCCCAGATTAATAATTGCAGAGTCGCAATAACATTGTGTATAGTATTCCATTCCAGCTATACTATATCCTGCTGTGATACAGTTTTGTATGCAAGATTCCACAGTCATATTGGCATCGTTAGGCAGATTGTCGGCGAGGATACTACCACGACCAAGGGCTCGGTCAACCCAGCATCCTTTGTAGGTCCATCCTTTTGGAAGATCTGTGATCGTGGCCGAAGGGACAGTGGCACTAATTGTCGTGGGTGTTGGTGTAGGCGGTAAACTCGTTGCGGTGTAATTGTATACGTTCATCCGCCCGGACCTAGAAGATAATCAGTAATTGCTTCTCGCGAAATCCCTCGGAGAAAAGGGTTAATGTGCAACAACGACATTAGAAACAATGCTTACCCTCCGCAAAATTGTGTCAAGTTCCCTCCGCATGCCATATTACAACCCGTTGCTGGAGCGCCATAGTTTTCAATCTCGTGGTCGCAATAACACTCACTGCCATACTCGACGCCCGAGAGTCTGTAACCTCCGAGAATGCAGGCGGAAAGACATGCATCGACGCTCATGGATGTCCCGGCAATGGAATATATCTGCGTGGTGAGGGTACGTGCATTCACGCTATCATTGTAGCACCCAAGAGGTACCCACCCAGACGGTGCTCCTGTAAAATTAGGAACGGGAATAGAGCTTGTCGTGAGAGTAGGGAGCGAGACTATAGCATTGTTCAAATCGTAGAGACTCAATCTGGCGGAACCACCACATATTTCCGAAGAATTACCATTGCAAGGCATATTACAACCGGTCTCGCCATCAGAAGCTAGGCCCCCGCCATTGAATATGTTATTCGCGCAATCTTGTGTTTGTCAAATTAAAGCTACAAGCTTGACTAGGGCTTCCCACTTACAACATTCTCCTGAGTATTCAGCTCCAGCAAGTACGTAACCAAGGTTTTGACATGTCGATTGGCAGATTTGAATTGTCAAAGCTGCCTCTCCTCCTGGAGTTGCTACATTAGTAGTGAGCGTGCGAGCCCCCACGTTGTCGCTAACGATGCTAAATCAGTAAAATTTTGTATAAGGGTTTTCAAGGGCGAGTATACGGAGAATGAAGATAGCAAAAGCAATGTTCAGTCAGGGTACCCGGCTACCAGCTTTCTGCATTGCAATATGCCAGTCATCTAAGGTATATTGATGGGAGGGTATAGAATGCAAGCCATCGATTGCGCTATTCTTGATGGGCCCCTTGTACCCTCAATCGGAGCCTCTTTCTTCAAAGGATGGAACTTTCAGCGAGAAAGAAGGGTGTGCTTGGCAATGTAACAATGTAAATATATACCTATAGCAGCCCACATATGACCATGTATCTGCCCTTGGTAGGACAGGATGACTCCCTGAATGCGCTTCGGAACAAGTAAACTATCGAACAAAAGCTAATTAGCAGATGGAATACAAGGTGGCAATCACAAAAGCTATCATTAACATACCGTCAAGGATAGACTTAGCGCTGCAAAGGCAAGCCGAAGAAAAGAAAGAGCCATGATTGCAATTGCTAGCAATCACCGTTCAAATGCACGTTGGGAAAAGACTGTCGCTCAATGATATACACGGGAAACGGAGAAAGAAAGTGAAAAGATCTGCACTCGGAGAGAGAACTCCATCGACCTGCTTAAGCTTTACAGTCTTAGATTACAGTGACAAGAATTGACAAGAATTGCCATGACCTTCCACATGATGGACCACTGATCGTCGGATCCTTGAAGGCTGACAGGAACCAGCCTGAATGCTGCCTTTGCTCTTTACGAACAGCAGAATTGTATAATTCTCACCTGTTAATTCGTATCATTTGCTTTCATCTGGTGCAAGGCACACCCCGTGGATTTTCTATGGCTATCTCCACATTGTCCAAAGTGGTATATGGTACCAAAAAGTTATTTCCAAACAAGACGATCATGCATGTACCGCAAAACAGGCGTTACAAATCCTTGGGTGTTTCTTTCTTTTTCGCGAATCCTTGTCTGCGGTTCGAGGATTCCTGATGACCTGGAATTGAATCTCGTTCGGACATTTTCCACGGCTCGGTTTGGATACCGAAAGAGGCACGACATCCGCCAACGACTTGGCTAACAAATAAAGAATTGAGAGCATGACTGACTGTGCAGATACGTGAAGTATTGACAGGCTGAAGAATCTGTGTAGCAAGTTTCACGGTAGCACCTACGAGGTTACGAGGTGTGACAATCATGATAGGGCTCGCTGCCATCAGAAGTGAAGTCATAGAATGGGATAGATCATCTCATTGGTAGGTGCAAAGCTTATTCATGGTCGTGTAACAATTGCATAGGTACACTATTGTATATTGATGTACTGCATCAACCTGCAGCCTGAGTAAGTGGAGATGGCCAAACTATTGAGTGAGATGATGTGCTGGCGATACAATGGTCTAAAATCGAGGGCAATCTGCATGGAGAACCATGTAGGTGTATCAGAGTTTGACCAGCACGAAAATATTTGATACCAGCCTATACAATCTCGGAGCAGAGAACGTTGTTGGTTACCCGATATTGTATTTCAGGAGTTGTTTTGGTCCAAAAAAACGTTCAATTAAGCTTAATGTGGCGGAGGTGTCTAGGAAGCTAGGAGCATTGTTAGCTGGAGACCCCTCGTGAAGAATCCCTTGCAAAGTTGATGACCCGCCCTCGCGACCGACAGAAAAAACCGAACACCAACCCCGCAAAATAAACGAAAATTTGAAAATGATTCTTTTTCAAAACTTAGTATTAATCTAATTTTATATTTTAAATCTTTTTGAATTAATCTATAGAAATTATAAGCTAATAAATAAGTATTATTAAAGATTTGAAAAGATTAAATTGAGTTGTTGTTTATATATCAATTTTTGATTGAGGTGAAGATTTTTGGTGTTCGGCTTTTTCTGTCGGTCGCGAGCTGCCCTATTTCAATATACCATCCCAATCATGCATAACCGAAAAAGGAAACTCAATTTGATAGGCCTTCACGAATAGAAGAGTTGCGATATCGAATCTAGACTCGAGCAATACACTTGAAGCCCAATCCTACTCACGGTAAACGAACCAGAGTATGCATATAACGTAGTTTCTGGATGGAGCAGTGAACTAGAAAGCCATCGGAGACAATGACATGTTTACCTGATTACGACACCGAGTCAATGATACTCAACAATGCGTATCTATCTACTATGTTGTAGGAGAATCTGACCATTTCCGAGTCATTGGCAAGAGATAAAGAAACGACGATACCAGAATTCTCTTCCGATGTGTAAAATTAGAAAACCCAAGATGTTTATTGATCGGCCCGGGATTCATGATACGTTCAAGGGTAGGGTCGCATTTACCCGAACACCACATGTAAACCAGACACGACCAATTAATCCTTGAAAAATTCGAGAACATCATCTTTTTGTATGCCTAGTCTTCGTGTATGCACTTCTTATCGGTGACCTTCCAACAGTTGTGAAAGTGTAGATGAGTGTGTAAGATTGTATATTTTATTATCGGTTAAGAGGCTTTAGTTACCGATTACTTCTCTAATTTTCCCACGTGTATCATCCCGAAGTTTGTTCCATGCAATATCAAAACCAAATTAAGCACCTGTCTTATCTATCTCACTTCTCCTATCTTGCTTACTTGAAGTATACTATCTCTTTCGATTTCGTTCTCAGCTCGGGCTTCCGCAAGCGCCCTGCGAATACATTTTGACACTTTTGACTGTCATTCCTCTGTCTTCGGGCGGCCCCCACGTTGAGCCCCACTGACTTGAAGCGTTCCAGAACTCTGCTGGGGCCGTCAGACTAGCATCTCCCCACGGTTTGTTGCCAACCTTATCACTATCACCAACGTTAGTTTTCATTGTGCCTAAAAGCCGCTCGCGATTTGACAACTCACGGGAAGTATCCATTGGTCCCGCCCACTGCCACGCTATCTTAATGTGAGCAAAGTTATCATCCTCTCATTTTATGCTCAAGGTAATCTTACTTCAGAATAAGATAGAAGGCCTGGTCAAATGGAGTGGCTGGATTCCCCGTTTGACTCCATGGATCATGTAATGCCGAGTTATTCACAATTGTCTTACCGAATTCTCCTCTATTCCACATACTGTTGTATCCCTTACTGAAAGAGAGGTAGAATACTTGCTACACCAAAATTAGTTCTTGACAGGCTACAAGGCTAGAATGATAAGATTCGTGGAGATCATACCAAGAGACGACTGTTGATATAGGTGAAGATATAGTCTTCACTCCATTCAAGGCCGTATGTATAATAGCTTTCACTATAATCGGTTCGTCGGATATTGTGTTTTCCATCTGTCTTCCAGAAGGCATCTACTTGAGGGATTGGGCCCCAATGCTTTGATTGTGGTCAGCTTAAGTCTAAGTTCAAACTAGATGGATCATACCAAAGCAGAGATAATGCTGTCTCGACCTCCATCGTATGTAGCCCCATCATTACCTTTGCTTTCAGCGAGATCTATCTCACCACTAGCAGGCCACGGTCCGTAAACAGAATCTTCTGGCATCATCCTATTCAAAGTAAGCAACTTCCAATTCAAAGGAGGATGAAAATTCACCATATCGCTGGCCATAACCAATCACCCTTTGGCATCTTTGCAATGACTTCAATTTTGCCATATTTGATAGTTTTCTTCCCCTTGGTCGACAGCCTTGCGCTTCGGACTGGATTTATAATGGTACCGGCGGTAATATTGCTGTACATAGAACAAGACGATCCCGCATCATCAGACGTACACACGCCATCAGGCCTATTGTCGGTAGTCAAGTTTAATGTATACCCGTTTAAAATCTGAGCAGGTGTAATATTTGTTGAATTGACTGTCAATGTTGGAACGATATGAAGCCCCTCAGCATCAGTATAAGCGTTTTGGGGATCGTTGGTGGTCCATTCAAAGGATCCAGTGCTAGTTTTATCAGCTGACATGCCTTTTAAAGTAATTCAGTGATTTGAACTGACCCAAAGCCGCCCCGTTGAATCTCATAACTCCATATACTAGGGTCTATGTTGTGAAAATCATCTTCAAACATAAGACAGTATGAGTTGTTTGGAACTGATGTAAATCCAGTGTAGCAAATGATGCCTCCAAGCCCAAAGCCAATGACAATACTTGTCCAGAAAATTATTGAATCCCAAGTTCGTCCAGACCATTTCTTGCGTTTTCCCTCTGTAGCAATCTTTTCTAGCCATGGCTTTTCATAGCTTTCTTATAGTCAGTATCTGTTGCTTTGGGATGGAGGTCAAAACTTACTCGCCAATAAGCCTAGCGCTTTTAAATCGGCGCTGTCTTGGAGGTACAATATCTAAACCATCTTCAACGGTCAGCAATTTATTCAACATCAAGAGTGCGATTTCCATACCTGAAATTGAAGAAGCTTCACCTGGCGATGAGAATCGGTTACTTGGTGTACTTGTATGGGATGATTCGTGATTTGGCGTTCCTGGCTGAGAGAGAAGTTGAGGTGTTCCAGGGGCAGAAACTCGGTGGGTTTGAGGATCTTGTGCAGTGAGGGATGTACTGTATGTTGACATCTTGAGGATTCTATACTCTCTGCAATTTTGAAAGACTGGGACAAGTCGCTGGATAACTCATCAGAATATCACAATCTCGATTTGGACGGTTGACTTTTTCTATTCACCCACGCACTTGCCCGAAATTCCCTACGAAAAATATTATAGTGTGGTCGAAAATATTTCCAAGATAAGATAAATCTCCGATAAATAAGCTAAAATAAATCGATCCATTTCAATAATGGTATTGTCGAATACCGCATGGGCGGCAGAGTACCTTGTATCTGCATCAATCCCTGAGGGTATGGACGTTTTCTGCCAGCCTCACAAGAAAAAATGAGAGGAGTAAGCGAAATGATGCCCTAGTAAATCTGCATGCGCTGGTAATGTCGCCGATAGTGGGAGGATACGCGATATCGAGAACATCAAAATTGATTATAATAACAGAGTTACAGACAGGAATTTTCAGCTATTTTCAATCAAGTAGCATAGCGTCTGTCGGTATCCAGTGGCTGTGAACCATTTTCAACTAGTGCTTGAAGGACTCAGAGGCTTCTAAAACGAAAGCTAAAGGCGGATGTAACCTCAAAATCTTAAAGGCGTCAATCCACGATAATGATTGAATTGCCCGAGCCGCTAGGCCTGAAAACAGATGATGCGATGTCTTATATGGGATGATGGCACTGTTACACTTTGCTTTGCAAGAATGCATGTGAATATCGATATTGAATACGAGAGTCCAGGAACCTGCAGATAGGTCTCATCTTTGTGGTAATGAGTACTTGATTGGACAGAAGACGAACGGTTGAAATCAGAGAAAATTGAAGATGGTGCTGAGGAAAAAGTCAAAACAAGGGGCTCAAATCAAAATTCGAAACAACAGTTCAGATGATCCAGAAGGAAAGGTGCATGTTGGGGTATTTCGTTTGTATTACCGAGAAAATGAGGTGGTTGAGATGTCGGGATATCGAAGTGATCGACATTAAAAATTCCTAACGAGATTTCAGGGTGGAAAAACGTTGAATTGTTTAATTCCTCATATGAGTCGTACAAAGTGCGAATTTGTCGGCCGACGAACAGCAAGAGCTACAGTGTTATCTGTACCACTGAGTAACATGCAAGCAATTTGGAGATGGAAGGATAGCGGACAGGGTATTTTAGCGATTTATTTAGGGTAAATAAGCCTACAGTGGGTCTGTGACCCCTGAAAGCTTATAGTAAGATATCACTCCGATGTCTGCACCTAAATTCGTTGTTAGTATTGAAAAGTTCAGGAAATACCCTGCTGTACCAAGGGGCCAAGGGCTGATAGCCCGTCTAGTCGTATGGGGAAAGCGAGAGTTCCATTTTAGCTCACTTATATTGCGTTACTATAAGCCTCGATTTAGCCAATCACATCAAAGCAAGCACCGGATGAAAATATTTGGACACCTTGGTGGTCGATGTTTTGCTGCTCTCTCCCATGTATCTTTCTAATCTCCCCAGGATCTCAAAAGGATTTCCGATCAATCAGGAACCCATCAATTTCAGTACCCTGGCCTTTTTGCGGAATCTGGTTAATACAGCCGTGTACAACACATCCCTGGTCAATAATAGTCCCTCAATACTTCGAAGCTTTGTATTGTTGAACCATTCAACGGAAAAGCTTTCCGTATAAACTTATCTATTCCATTGGAGCTACCAGAGATAGCACAAGTTCCCCAAGCCTCCTACCTTATCGTCGGACCATAATGCTATTCTTAGGTCAATATTCTGCATCCTGCATGCGTGGAGATATAGATGAAGCCACAACTTTCGTGCAAAGACACTATACATCTGTAAATCTGATCCAATAGTATAGGCTTCCCGCAGGAGATGTGGCTACTGCCTGCTGTGACACCGAGACTATAAGCCACGAGCTCAATATCTCAAATGTAGTATTTTGTGATAAATTCGTGTTTTCCATCCCGGTAAGTCGTTGAAACTAGCCTAAATTTCTATGTTCCGTCGCCCTCACTCAGCTAGCTCGAACAATCTATAGACAGAAAGTTCACGTTCTTCGATTTCCTCCTACAGCCGCCATCACGAATGTGTTGGCAAGTGTAATATTGACTTCCGATTTTCGACAAATCCCGTCAACTGCCTTTGATCTTATCCGCGTATCGATTACTGATAATCTCAGGTTCCCACTCTTTCAATCTAGACTTGCAGCTCTTCAATTCCTGGTTCAAGTTGGTATTAGTTCTTTCCCGACCTCAAAACTACAACGTTATGTCTGAAGAGTTCAACTTTCAACTGCGCTCTGGTGAGCAGCAGCCAATTCTTCCAGATACACGCCCCATGATGGCAGAACGACATCAGAGTGTCCCAGTGCCTTCAGTGTTCCGCCCAGAAAGTTTGGCGCCAGCCTCGCGACCCCATAGCATTATGAGTACAGGGTCTGCAGGAAGCCGCGATCGTCATACTCTGGTATGTCTTTCGGTTACATAGTTCACTATATATTCTCTCTCCCCAAAAATACTTGACGCGATTCCTGGCTTTCGCCTGATGATGGTTTATAGGTTGCGAAGTATCTTCAGAGACGATGCAGTGCTGCAAAATGGCTTCAACCTATCGAGGAGGAGAATGGCACCATCAACGAATCCTCGTGGGTGGGTGTTGCCATGCGGCTTCCGGATGGTAGTTACTACACTGAGCCACCAAACGTTGATAACAACTTTTATACTGTGATGCAATATCTTGGTTGCAAAGTTGCCTTCACAATGTCTTCAGATATCACTGCAGCATTGATGGACCAAATTGGACCTTTTCAAACAGAAGTCCAAGTACACCCACGCGGAATTAGACTTCCAATCGTCCAAAATCTCTCAGAACTTGCTTATGGAGGTACTGGAGTATCAAAAAAGTCGTACTTATGTGTATTGAGAGAAGAGAGGCTCGTTCTCATTTGGAATGAATCGGTTGAAAGTATTATGACCCACGGCGCAGATGTTGAAGGCATTCTCGTTGGTCTGGTAAGTAAAATCAACTGGAAATAGTTTGGACTGTGCTTACGGAAAGTAAACTAGATCTGGGGATCTCATATTGGTACCATGACAGCTACTTCTCCATACGCATCCATGACTCCACCTATTGGACAAACGCCAGGCCAAACTCCCGGAAGAACCCCATCGGCCATCAGTGAAGATCCTGAGTTCAATGAAAAAATGAACATTGTTCAAGCCGCGATTGAGCGCGAAGAAAACAAAGACACAATTTTCAATCCAGATATTGAGGCCGCGGCACCACCAGAGAGGCCATTTCTATTGTTACATGCTGGTGTCATTGGATTTGCTATGACTTTGGTGGTATTTGTAGAGATGCTTTGTGCGTCGCGACTAATCACAGAATATCAATGGGATGGTGGTGTACTTCGGTTTGCACTTGTCGCCGTTATTCCATTCTTCGTTTCCTTCTCTCTGGTAAGACATTTTCAGCCACTTTCTACGTGGCGTAAGCCTCGAGTACAACGGAAACCTTAAACTACCGATAATTTTCCGAACGTAACTAACATGTCTATTCATCAGTTTTTCATGGTTGTCATTGCGGGAAGTTTATTTCAATTATTTGGACCCTTGACATATGTTCGAAAGAATTCTCAGTTCTATTCGGCCAAGCCGCCCAAGAGGGGTCGTTACCCCGACTTAGAGCTGCCACACATCACCATTCAGATGCCAGTATATAAAGAAGGATTAAAAGGGTATGAGGCCACTAGGATCTGATTATAAAGCAGCTGACTGATGAAGATAGTGTTATTATTCCCACTGTCACCAGTATACTGGCTGCTATCCGGTACTATGAAGCACAAGGAGGCTCTGCTTCAATTTACGTTAACGAGGACGGAATGCAAGCTGTAGATCCCGAGCTGTGTGAAGCTCGAAAGACATTTTATGAGTTGAATAATATCGGCTACTGCTCGCGCCCGAAGCATACCCACAGCAAAAAGAAATGGTATCAGGGAAAGAAGGTACAAGATAACCCTGAAGGATTCCAGCGAAAGGGCCAATTCAAAAAAGCATCGAACATGAACTACTGTCTTAGTTTCTCTATTCGAGTTGAAGACGAGTTACTGAGACTTATTGCTGCAAAGTCTACAGCGGAAGATAGACCCCAAGGTGATATCACCCCAGATGAGGAAGATGTGCTTTACAAACAGGCTCTAGCAGCTTGTCTCGAGCAAGATGAAGGGCGGACTATGGCTGGAGGTAATGTTCGTATCGGTGATATTATTTTGATCATTGACAGCGACACTCGAGTGCCTGAAGACTGCCTTTTGTTAGGCGCATTGGAAATGCATGAGAGTCCTCAAGTGGCTATTTTGCAACATGCCTCGGGTGTCATGCAAGTTGCTAATAATCCTTTCGAAAACGGAAGCAAGTATTCCTGGTAGAAAATAATTAGAGACAGTACTAACAGTTGACAGTTACTTACTTTACAAACCTCATCTACATGTCTATTACCTTCGCAGTAGGAAACGGCGATTGTGCTCCATTTGTTGGCCACAATGCCTTTCTGCGATGGAAAGCTGTACAGAGCGTAGCTTATGAAGAAGACGGACAACTAAAGTTCTGGTCTGACGGTATGTCGCTTCAATATTTCGCCTATACTATTAATCTTCTAACATCTTGCTAGATCACGTCTCCGAGGACTTTGACATGAGTCTACGACTTCAAATGGCCAAATTTATCGTGAGACTGGCAACTTACCACGAAGGTGGTTTCAAAGAAGGTGTATCACTTACTGTTTATGACGAACTTGCTCGATGGGAGAAGTACGCATATGGATGTAACGAATTAGTTTTCAATCCCATCTACAAGTGGTGGCGAGGCCCATTCACGAAACTTTTCATGAGATTCCTTTGGAGTGACATCAAGCTCACCTCTAAAATCACTATTCTAGCTTATATCGGAACTTGTGAGTATTGAAGTCCTTGCAAGTTGATCTAGAACTGACCAATTAACAGACTACGCAATTGCATGTGCCATTCCACTTACCTTAGCAAACTATATTATGGTCGGCTGGTTCAATGACTCACTAGATCAATTCTACCTCACCTCCTGGAAAATCTTCGTCGGCATGGCTGTAGTTTTCAACGTCCTCTCGCCCCTCGCCTTCGCTATGTTACGTCATCGACTTGGCGAAAAAGTCTTCGTCTCCTCCATAGTTGAAACCGCAAAATGGACACCTATGTTTGTTCTCTTCTTTGGTGGCATATCTTTCCATCTTTTGACTGCCATCTTATGCCATTTCTTCAGCATCAAGATGGAATGGACGGCTACTGCCAAAGAAGTCGAAGCTGGTGGCTTTAGAATTGGTTTAGATAAAATCTTTCGCGATTTTAAGTGGATGTATCTAGTGATGATCCCGGTTTTGGGAGGAATGGTGTACTTGGGAGCTTTTGCACCTCGTGGCTTCGAAATAACGGATTTCACAGCCATCGTACCCCTTTCAAATCAAGTGGCATGCCATATTCTACTTCCTGTAAGTGTCTCTCTTCACTATAAATATTTTTCAGGCTGCGCTGTAACTAACAGCATCTCAGTTTGCGTTGGGACTTTTCTAGATATATTTCATGACAAATCCGATATCCGCACATCATTGTATATAACACCTCAACCATCATACAGTTCATGTTAGAACGAGTATTTCAGAGATCGTTAGCATCAGAACGCAAACCTAGAACGGACGAAAAAGAGTGCATTTGATTTCTTCGCGGGCGCATTTATCCCCAAAACATCACTTTTATCATTTCCTTGAAGATGATACAACAGAACTATTCTATTGTCCACGGTAGATTCAGCACTTGACATTTGAAAAATTTATTGCAATTCAACGAGGAAACGTACTCTTTGAAATTTGGAAGAAAACATGTGATTAGGGATTGTTAGGTAGACCAAAGAATTTTGTTCAGGGGTTTTAGAGAAGCAGGATATAATAGAGCGTAGCAAAGAGTTACATTGGACTATGAAAGAAATGAGATGCAACGTACACAGTAATAATATAATTCATTTTCAAATCTTGAGAGAGGAATGTGCAGCACATTGGCAATCCACACGATTCTATCGTAAACATCTTACATTTTAATTAATAATGTTTCACGGACTGGCAAAACGTCCACGAAGTTTCGCGTGTTGTGGAATTCTAAGAGTGCCAGATTTCTTATCACTGGCATCACTTATTCCAGATTGAGCCTCACTGCTCGCCTCGGCATCTGAGTATATCATGGAATTGCCCGAAGTCTCATCTACCAGCGGTATCTTTGAGTCTAGAGACTCCTTTGCCTCTTCGAAAATATTCTTCTCCAAAGGTGCATCAACTGACGAAGCATTTATTACACCTTTGTCTTCCGACAGAGCACTCAAAAGATCTACATTTCGTTTCATTGCCTTTATTCTAGCTTTCTCTTGCCACTCGGCCTTAGCCAAACATAAATCAATCTTCTCCTCTACCAAGCCCTTAATGTGGAATGCCAAGGCCTGGCTGTGGAATACACCTGTAAATCTGTAACTCAACCAGAGGTAGAGTGTAATATTTTTGTGTAAACTTTCAATACTGCGGACATACTTTTCACGGTCCTGTTGCCGAGTAAAAGTGTCGGGATCGTCATCCAAAAGATCAAGACTAAGCTCAGGTATATCGAGAATGTGACCACCACTGTTCTCGGATACACAACGAGCAAAGGCTTTTACCACAGCGACAACTCCAGGATCGCGCAAAGATACAGGAGCAGCCAGGAAAATGAGGCGGTTTCGAATGGTAAGATTAAACTCTTGAATGATGTCTGCAATGGCAGCTTGATCCTTGAGTTGACACAGGTGAAATTGGCTGCTTAAAGTACTGAGCTCGTGTAGTCGCAATATCACGTAACTAAATGGTGTACTCTTGGGGAAATACTCAGCGAATCGTTCGATGACATTTGCAGGAGGAAAAATTCCAGCTGTCGTCATCTGTGCTGCATCTTTTGACATAGCGTTCGATAATATCTCGTGGTCATGTTTGTAGAAAGTTGTGACGAGGCCAACTGGAGGCTCCGTTGATTTAGCTGGGATGCCATCTGTGACATCGACTGGCCCTGCTTCGATGGCATCTCGGGCCGTCTTGTATCTCCCAGCCCGGCCGGCAATTTGTTTAATTTCGGAGAGAGGGAGAGTTATGAAATCTGTGCCATTATTCCTCGAAACGGATTCAAGAATAACTCGTTTGATGCTTAAATTTAAACCCATGCCAACGGCATTGCTGGCAGCCAGGAAATCGTAGTCATTGTCAGGGTCATTGAACAAAGCGGCTTGTTGAGCACGGGTCTCGGGAGGTAATGACCCATAAACAATAGCGCATCGTCTGCCTTTATGATGTTTCTCAATTGCGTTTTTCATTGCATGAATTTTCATCCTCGAGAACAAGATGACAGCATCGCCTTTCTCTAATTTGCTGACCGGGTTGTTATCTTTGTTAGGTGGGCCATATCTCTCGGAATGTCGTGGTGTGAGACTCTTTGCCATTACTTGTAATTTCCCAAGTCTTTCATAATTGTGTATGATCAACTTGTCTCCCATCATTGCACATAACTTTTTTATCAAATCAGTTGTTCGAACTTCGCCACAAAGATGTACTTCCTTGGCCTGAACTCCCAGTACTGCTTGAGTCCAAGCCCAGCCACGGTCTTCATCTCCGATCATCTGAATCTCATCTATAACTGCTACATCGACTTTCGAATTGAGAGGTACCATCTCCACGGTACAACTCTTCATGGTATCCTTGGCACCCTCTGGAATCCGACGTTCCTCTCCAGTGATAAGAGAGCATGGCTTTCCTTTAGCATTGAATCTCGTATAAACCTCGTGAGCCAGTAATCGTAGGGGCCCAGCATATATACCACTATTGGCTGCCTCAAGTCTTTGCAGTGCATGATATGTCTTGCCAGAATTCGTGGGTCCAACATGCAGGTGGAAAGTACGTTGCATCGCTCGTGTCGCTGGGTACCATTCAATTGGATAGCGAAAGTCTGCTAGCCTCTGGTGGTTTGCAAGTTCTTCTTTCGAAAACTTACCGGAGAGTGTGAAATGTGTGAATGCATATCTTATTTCGTCTTGTAGGCCCTTAGTATCCTTTGTAATATATGCGTCCTTAAATTTGCAGAAGATGGGATTTGAAGCTTCATCAACCTCGTGCCGTTCAGTTGCTCTTCTGCCAGCCGCTGCTACCACATCCTCAAAGTCTCGAAGCTTGACTAGCAATTCCTCCTTACTTGCTACGCCCCACCCTTTCATTTCTACCTCCCCCACTGGTTTCGTGTCTATCGATCCATTGATAAGTGTTTTTTTCAGCGTTCGGGCTTCTTGCACCATCGTTTGTTCAAACTTTCGAAATGCCGTCCTAGCACGTTCCTCGGTGTCTTTCGGCGTTCCATACCCTTTATGGGCACCATTGTGATTTGATACTCCGTAGGACTCCGAAAGCTCTGGATACTAAGAAGTTAGGTGGTAAGCAGATGAGGATACCAAAGTAGCAGTGCCCATGTTATATACCTTCTTCCGGCGCGACTTTGGAAACGTCCTCGCCACAGGCCTTGACTGATGGAAACTTCTACCATTGGATGTGAGAGGCGAAGAGCTCGGCCATATTAAGCTGCGAAATGTACAGAACGCACACTGTCCAGATCTCCTGCTGATCAATGTCATCACCGCCGTGGATAGCGCGAAAGCATCCGAATATAGATAGAATGATAATCGAACTCAAATGCAGATTTAATTTTAAGATTAGGTAATCATCGAGACACGGCAAGTCTTAGCGTCGGCCGCAGCCGCATTAGCTTCTGCGCTATCGTCATTGTACTTTCCCAGTCCTGTTACCTATATGTCAACCAAATTGAATTGACTATCCAACTTTCACCATTATCCTCATCAACCTGCCTGTCCATATTCGCATGCAATTGTTCACATCATCTCCATCAACCCATACATCTTCCTTTTGTTGAATTGTATTCAAGACATTGGAAACCTTCGGACTTCGTGGAAAACCCTTCGAATTCTTAATTCAAATTCCAACAATGGCTTCCTCATCCACACCACCAACTCCCCTTCTTTAGTAAGTATACATCGGTCTCACAGATTCTTATTTTACCTTCTAACAGATGCAGTTCTTGTATCTCTCACAATACGACCATCCTCGCCGAGCATACCACGTCCGCCGCTTCGCAAACTTCATCCCTAGCCTCCCTTGTCCTTCCGAAAATCAAGCATGATGAACCTCAAAAACTGACCTATACCCACAACAACTCCTTCATCCATTATATGGCATCTGCACCCTCTGAATACCCCGCTTCCGAATCGTCTGCGGGTGGACTTACGTTCCTCGTGATTGCCGATGCCTCTCTCAGACGTCGCATACCGTTTGGTTTTCTTTTCGAGATCAAAAAGCGCTTCTTTACATCTTTTCCACCTTCTACTACAGATTTTTCCGATCTAGGAAGTTACGGCGCTGGATCATTCAATTCCGAACTCAAGAAATTGATGGTGGAATACGGAACAACCCAGGGTGGCAAAGAGGATGCGATCAAGAACGTACAAGGTGAAATTGACAATGTGCGAGGTATTATGAGTCAAAATATCGAAAGTCTTTTGGAAAGGGGCGAGAGAATTGATCTACTCGTTGACAAAACGGATAGACTCGGTGGAAGCGCATCGGAATTCCGAATTAGGAGTAGAGGCTTGCGCAGACAGATGTGGTGGAAGAATGTGAAGTTGATGGTACTTTTGACTGTTGTTATCATCTTCTTGCTCTACTTGTTTGTTGGGTTTGGATGCGGATTACCGGGATGGCAAAAGTGTGTTGGATAGGTACATTGCGGAGAAAACGGCATAATATCGCTTGAGAAAGCCGTGCATTGAGTTCAAATTGACCGTTAGGGAGGATAAAATTAGGATTGGGAACTTTATACCACGGCTTGGAGTTTTGGCATGCGGCTTTGTGTTATTTTAGTATACATACTTTTATGGGTTTATAAGGCCGAGCAATTGATATGTTATTTATGATTACACTTGCATAAGAAAACTAAAAAAAACCCCTTGGAACACAATGATGAGCACTCTTAACCACATGAAAAACGAGAGGTCCCATATATACAATCCATGAATCCGAATTCCTTTTCCAATCCGAACTCCAATATATAAGCCTGTTATAATAATTCTTGGATATGTCCAATGACCACAATCAACAAGGCCCTCACAACTTTGCATCTCTTTCTTGAACTTCACCACTTTCGTACACATACCCGCTCGCAACCGGACTCCCCGCCTTCCAATCCTCAAATGCATATTCATTTGCTTCCACCCCGGTAGGTCCTTTTCTCAATCTATCTGTGAAGAATACTGGGTGTCGTTTTGCAGAATCAAGAATGAACTTGCCATTTCTGTGAGTTAAGTGTAGGAAGGGTGAGGTTGAATCTGTTGTTTGTAAAGGTGTTGCGTGGGGTGGCAGAGCTTCAATTTCGGTGCGGGGAGGAATTGGAGCTGGAGTGGGGAATGCAGGAGCGTAAAAGGATGGAGACGCGGTAGGGAAGGGAGATTCTGATTGGTAGGTAGGTGGAGACATTGAAGTTGTAGGTGGATTGGGAGGTGGAGTTGAAGGTGTAGTGGGAATTGGGACCTAGTAGGATGGATGATCGATTAGCTGTATTCTTCGCTCATCACAAGTTGGATAAGGAAAGCTCAGTAAAGGTACGAAACATACGGTTGGTCTTTTTGGCTGTAATGAAGGAATCATCTCGTCGTTATTCGGAGATACGGAGGGAGCTGTAGAAAGCGATTGTTCGTGCGATTGGGAGCTTCGAAGAGCAAACGCTGGATGCGGCGCGAATAGCTGAGAAATGGAATGGCGTAGGGGTGGCATTTCGGATAAGGTCTTCGCGAGTAAGCTTCCTATTTGGGTTCTTTGTCCGGGAATCTGAAATTGTGAAAAGAAGGTGTGGTGTATGACACGTTTTCAGTTGAATTGATGACAATTGCTAGGAAATGATGTTATTTTCTCAATTTGTTTTAACAAATTGTTTTACAAAAGTAGAACTTTTGTAGATTTCGATGTTCAAAATCTCTGGAAGAAATACCCAAGATGGGAAATTTATGAAGTGTGGGGTAAGGCTAGCTTCAACTCTAAATGGACGTCGGTCATAGGGGCCGAGGTATCAATAATGCACATTTGTGCATATGTGCATCTGCCGGCATACCGTGTGGTTCCGTGTGTGTAGAATTGTCTCCTTTTTACTGGTTATGTTGTACTTACTGCAGTTTCGGCGATTGCTTGCCGTGTTCAGGATTACGAGTCCCAAGTGACAACTATATCGACCTGATTCTGCTTGTTGCCAAAGTTATCAAACCTTTCTAAGCTACTCAGGCCGAGATTCATACTCCTTTTGAAGTCTCGGGAGTGCCAGATCGTACCTATTCATACTATCTACCTGGTAGGTACTTAACGAAATGAAGGACTAGCTCGCTTGACGAGCACATGCTAAGTGTCAAAATATTAGTGAAACTCTCCAAAAACTATAATTTTTCAATCTTGTCGAAGCTCATAACATCAAGTTCGGCCCTGATCGAACCTCATATCAAGACCTACCAGTGATCATACTGAGTGGAAGGTGATAGGTATTCAGGACTAGGATCACCAGATCCAGTTCGATACTTGTCAAATTTCCTGAGAAGAAGACTCGAACGCTCACGAATGCTTCTGAATAAATTAGGGAAGAATTAAAGGCTCCTGTATTTGAAAATACATTGCACCACACACTTATTAGATATCATGCATTAGAATTGACGCACATTCACTACCAGTCAGTACGAAAGTCAAACACACTTGTTCAAATAAACCCTTCCAGACTTAGAGAGGCAGCAAGGACTTGATACTTCGTTTCTAATTTCTAGGAGGTTGACTATGGATGGAAGGAGCATCTAAAATTGTGCACTTCCATGATTCTATTAGTTGAGTAATGGAGAGCATTAAGACGTACGCGGTGGTAAGTGATGGTGATAACAATGGTGAGTGATCGTGGGTAGACCAGAAGATGTATCTAGGTACATCTGCGAAAGGACATCAATCAAGGAAATTTCCAGGGCTGCGAAAAGAGTTTGATTTATTGATACCTAGGTAGTGAATACAACTCAGAGACCCTTAGACAAATTCAAATTCCTCCCACAGTTTTCACTGGACCATGCGTACCTTTCGACTTATCATTTATTCACTTGTTGAGTAATTTTCGAATACCCAGATGCCTTCAACCAATTTTCTTTCTCGCCATAAACAGCGAAGAAATGCCCATAGAATAATAAAGCCATATGCGTAGATTTTTTGAAATCTGACAAGCGTAAATTGAATTTTGACCCTGGAAAGCCACCGTCACTTTCCATGATTTTACCTTTTGTGAGATTTTGAACTGTTTAAACGGACTTGATTCGATATTCAAGTCCTCCATAGCCCCCCCTCAGTATTCGACCAACCGCAATCACCTTCGCGGTCGAAAGGTGATGTGATATATGAGCTATGACTTTTGAGTAGGCAAGACTGGCCACAATAGATGAGACGACAACTTCATTACCATCCCCGCCATTACTGATATTCACCACCAGCTTACTGCGCCTCCTAACAAAGAAAAAAAATTCTCTGCCGTAGCTTCAATTTGCAATTTTGATCTCGCATTCGGTCTGGCTTGGCCATCAAGGTACAGCATTCCACGTCCATATAAGGACTCCTCCCTCCCACCTCCTCCATCTTTTTTTCCTTCCCTCTTCAATCCATTGCCATGTTCCAAGAAACACATCTTTACTTCAACACCACTGTACTTGCTTGCAAGTAGATGCATCTGTGGTGCAAGATTGATGCTATCTAGTGGTACGGGGAAGATTGTTAGCATAGTGAAGACCCATTGCACGATCCAAAACTCATGGTAGCATAAACTGAGTCCTACTTAATACCCTCTCACGAGGGACTTTAGGGAAGCCGATGCCATGTTTCTTGATGGGGCTGTCTGAGAATCTTCCCACTCATATCTGCTTTTGCTCTATTGTCAGTTCAACCTGGCATCCACAGGAGTGAGAGTGTGAGAGAGGTTGGACTTGGTCTAGGCGATGGTGAGTTCTGTGAAGAACTTTACTTGATAGGTCAATCTTTTGGGGAATCAGTGGAAATCAACTTTCCTATGATCTGTTGGCTTTCGATCTTTGATCATGTGGGTTTTGGCTTGTGGGCGTTGGCTTGTGACACTGGGAAATATTGACAGGAAATTGTTGATAATGATGGGCTGTTGCGATTGGGTTTACTTTTACTTTCTGATCTGTGATGATGAATTATAAGTCAACACGGTCCGATTCTCATATCAATTTTTGATATGAGTTTTGAACCTTGACACATCATGTTTTGTTCTGAGATCACTTTCTGAAAGTTTTTTGTATTGTCTTGGACCTGAGTTTTCTACTTTGATTTCGTTCCAAGCAAGAGTACTCTTTTTATTTTCCTTTCCAGTTTTCTTGTCTTCCTTTCTTCTTGTTTTTATATTCATTCCCTCGAATTATGGCTTTGAGAAAGATAGTGGATTTTTTGATTTGATGAAAATTTCACAAAGGAAAATCTGAAAACATATAAGATCTTACATACTACGCAAAATATTTAATGTCTGAGTATGAATGTGAAACAACAACAAAAATTCGATTATTGACATTTTAAATTGTAAGATTACCCGTGGATGACTATTGCGATCTAGTAATATCCATGCCGCCAATGGTGACTGTCTGACAAATCCGGGAGGATAGAAAGATAAATAGCACTTTTTCCTCCGCACCTAATTCTTCGATCGTAACCTTCCAGTTGAGTTTCGTGTTCTCAACTTGTTTCTCAAGACGTTTGACCTTCCACGCCCAACTGAAAATCTAAATAAATCCTAGTGATTAACAAGCCACAGCTATGAATCTTGCATAAGGCTGAGCGATAAGTTTTGGATTTCTGGCATATAACGAAGCGAACGATTCAGTGTTTGGATAATCATCACTTTGTGCTAATTCTGGTTCAAGCAATAGATATTAGATAAGTCTTGGTGCATGACGCAGCCAGACCAATTTGAAATAGTGAAACAGAATCTTTCCCCATACATCTTCACTCCACATGTTGATGAGTCCATCCTTTGACATCGTTATGTAGACTTCTGTCATTTCTTAGAGTTTTCTTTTTAGACTGGAGGATGCCTTCATTTTCGAGAGAAAAGTCTTTACCCGATCCTCGTCCCTTGTTAAAGAACCATATAAGCTAAATATCCGTCAGTAGATGCAGCATCTCAACTGCGATTTATGACTGACTGTAGAGATCGAAGTCCTCCCATAGCATGAAGGTATCCCTCTAAATTGGAGGTATTTGAAGGATATTTTAAAGCTAAAATTTGTAGGTCTCACATTTGTTAGAGACGAGGCTACAGGAGTCTCGTCTTTGACTTTGCCATTAATAACCAAAGCAGACCTTCGGTATAGACATGGGGAAAATATACGACTGAAGGTTCGACAAACTTGGTTACGATGTATAATGTACGTTTGCTAGTCTCTGGAATCTAATAATTGGTTAGTAGTGGGTAGTTGCTGTTATGCATGTGCTCAAAGAATTACTTCAATGTACATTTCAAAACGAATGCACTTCAAGACTGCACAAGCCTTTTCAATGTAAACTGTTCTCTGAGCGGGAACTTCCATACTATGTCTGCGACCATAGTCCAAATTTCAAGCGGTAGTCCTCCATATTTCTTATCAATCTCAGAGCTTACTTGGCTGACCATCTTAGGCATCTTATAATGATTCTCTGTGTAAATATTGTTGAATCTATTGATGTATTGTGTAGTCGTGTTTTTCTCATATACCGATTCCCGCCCCGAGTAACGACTCTTAAAACCCCATGAACTCTTTTTGTACTTTATCCAGTCAATAGATTGAGAATGTTACTAGTAGTGAGTACTTTCAAAGTCCAAATTGTCCCTCCGACCTCCTAGAGCAGATTCGGATATTAGTTTCGGTAAGTTGAACAGATGTATAGCTTCCTTTTCGTCCTCATCCAGCTCTTCGAGTGCGAATGGTCTCCGTTTTATTTTCCAACCCCATTCACCAATTTCGATATACCTTAGAGAATTCGATTCTTCAGCGAGTATGTGGGCATATCGGTACGCAATATCTCGGGGTCTTCTGACGTAAGGCCAGCGGGACGCTTGTGCCGACGGCCATGCACGGGATCTGGTTCTCCTACTTTGTAACGAGAGTCGAGTCAACGATGGAACTTTGGGTATTTGACACCTAAATTCGTCCTAGAATAGTAGCTTAGCTTCTAGATGATACGCCTAAATAGAACCATCTCATCCTGATCAAAGAGAATACGCCATTATTATGCAATTCTTCAAAAGTCCATATACCAGCCTGACAAACAGAAGCTTTCAAATCTTGGTTTCATTCGAATGATTCGGATGATTTGGATATCAGATAATTTGAAAGATTCAAACAGTTCAAATGATACAGGCAGCGTGGTTGATTCAAATGGCTTAGCTTAAATCACTAAATTCAGCCTCAATGTTGTGGAGCTTCCGAAAATTGAAAGCTTAAGATCAGTCCGGAGTATTGAAATCTTTGTATTCTTCCGCGTAATCACAGATATTTGGAGGCACGGAATTAGCTTAATCGCTTCACTTACCCATTGTATTTCAAAGTCAATCGAAGCCGAAAGGTCAGTAAGATACTGAGAACCAACCGCCATGTGGCGCGACGCAATTGAAGTGAAGGCTCTTGACGCCTCCCAGGTACTACAGATGTTGTATAAAAATTGGTTGTAGTCTGCTGTATCTGCATCCTCACGGAGATACAGTAAAGATATTGTTTCTGGTAGCCTGATGTCGTTGATTGGTTCTTCCCTAGCTTCTACAAAGCGCCACTGTGGTTGGTAGTCTGTCATGATCAGCTCAGTCACCGAGTTGCGTTTCGTCATCAACCAAGTGACTAGCTCATCCGATATCCTATTGACCCAAAGCTTTCGGAGTTTTGGACAAACATCCATGCTCAGATAATCCAGATTTATTTTCTCGTAGAAAGCTTCTTCATCTTCTGCGTTAAATATTTGTAGTTCTTGAAGTGATCCGGTATTAACCAGACTACTCAGACACCGAGTATCATTCTGCGACATGCTAAACCAGGGAATTATACCACATCCGAGTTTGAGCTCTCTCAGATTTAATGGCGAAGTCTCTGGCTTTTCTTTGCACAGTCGACACAGCTCTGAGAGACAATCTCTGGTTCCCTCTCTATGTAGAAAAGCTTGGGTATCAGGAATCCATTCTCCAGTTAGACCTAAACCTAGTATCTGTAGGGCAGGCGATGTGCGTAGTATTTCTATCAGATCTCTGATGATACTGTACTTGTCACCATGGAGAGCGTAAAGCTCTAGACTAGTCAGGTTGACAAATCCGCTCACTTTGAAAAGACACATATGCGGAGCCTGAGCAGCTTCCCGGATAGCTAAAGCGGCACTTCGAAAGTGAACCTTCTTAAGGCTTCGAATGTCTTTGAGACGACGTAATAATGTCGCATTCTCTAAGATCAAGGCGCCACACGTGATGTTGTCATTCTCCATATCCTCACCCCCCACCTCAAATATGGACAAACGGCTGTTATTAACCAACCTAGATAATGCATTAACATATGTGACTGTACATTTAATAGTTTGTATCTTATTTCACCTGAAAGATTGGAGTTCCTTAGTATTGTTCAGATATTTTATAATCAACAAAACACAATCCAGGCTAGCTTGTTTGAATGCGGGCAACATTTCCGGTCTAATGTCAATAATCACCTCCAAGTTCTTGATAAAAGGAACGAAGGACGGGATTACGCTGGAGATTTGGTGACCCAACACCTCGATAGTATAATTTTCGTAAAGAATCGGCGAAAATATGGTTCTGAAGCTGCGCGATACTCTAACAAGAGAATAGAGAGAGGGCTTGCTAGAAATTTGTCCTATCATAACCCAAACTTCCATGGGTATATTGGAACAGAAGACGATGTTGGCCTCATTTTGCATTTTCATCATGTGTTTCCATAAGATACAACCAGATTACCAGACCAGTGCGAGGGGCTGTGTGCGGAGAATCGAAGTGAATAGCTGGTGACAAAGTAAATCCTCAAGAAGAAAGAACTCGTGGCACTTCTCAATATTATACTTTCGTTTTGTAATCGGATGGCTCTCACGATTCAGATGGTCTCTATTTGAAGAATTTATTATGGGCAGAATATTCTAATTTAAGGCGGTGAGACTGAGAGTAATGTTATTCCAGCAGCAGACTTTCAAATCGAAGGGATTAGGTTCTTGTTGTATATTGAAATATTAATATCAATTCTGGAAAAGAAACTTCTAACAATCTCAGACCGAGAAACCCGAAGGTTATTTTTTTTTAAAAGTCAATCTTATTGCTTCTGAATATCATTCTTGGAATTGGACGCCCAGAAACTGGCGTCAAGATTCTTCGAGCAATTGGCAAGTATTTCCACAATAGAGAATCATCAAAGACCGAAGTATACAACAATGCAAAGAATACCGAATCCAGTGGATTTTTTTAAGTCGTGCAGCTGTTGGGACATAGTTTGGGCTCTTTTGGAGATGAACTATTGCTAGCTGTTGATGCGAAAAATCGGGGTCAAATGTTGGGGCGCAAATCGGTTGTCCCGATTCAGTACTGCTGCTATCTGGCGTTTTGATTACAGAGTACGCCATAAGGATATGCATTGAGCGGTAGACGGAAGGTCTTACGTTGGATTTATTCTTACCCTCTGGGAACAAACAAATAGTGCAAGTTATAGCTAGAACGGAGCAGAAAGAGGCCAATGTCTTTCGCATATGGATGCCAAAATGTAGGGTCATTAAACTTCCCAAATGGGAAAAGCAGTGATGGCCATGAGTGTGAGGATGGAAGCTGAAGATACCATTATTACGGGTTTAAATGGTTCGATTGCGAATGGTCATGAAACAAAATGAGAGGGACGCATGATGATAAATATTGGGGATTTCAAACAAACGAATTTTAGCCCGATTTACCGGAACTGGATCAGAGAAAATGAACTTGTGACGACAATTTGAAGTAGGAGATCGATTTCTTACTAAACTAGATGGTGATTGATAATCTACGATAGACAGACTGCCTACTTGCGATGGTACGTAGAATCCGATAGCACAGGTGAGTGGAGAGCAGCTGCGAATATTAATAGTATTTTAACTATGTAATCTGTAATACATCGCTGTTCAACTTCCTTTGATCACTATTTCTGGGGTATATTTAACTCCTCTTTTCGCTTCCTAACTTCCTCAATTGCAGCTTCCGTATCTGTCGAATCAGGATTTCTCAGCTGCCACTCCATGCATACATTCAATGCCGGCGCCATCCATATGCCAGGCTTGACACCCAGTGCCTTTGAAAGAATCTTTCCATCTACTATACCTCGAATTGCCGGTGCCTCCATTACATCAAGGTCTTTGAGGTGGTCAATGAACTTTTGCCATTCAGAAAATAACGATTGGTATCCTAAAGAAACTTAGCATAAATTGTAGAACACAAGGTTTCCAATGATCAAAACGTGTGGAAATTAACTATACCTTCAGCACTTTCTAGCTTCAAAGCCTCCACGAGCAATGCAAATAGGGCTTGTAATTTCCATTGCCCACCATGTGATTCCCACTTCCTAATCATCATTCCAACTGTATCTCGTTCGTGAATATATGGGTCATTTTTCTTGATCGCATCCTTAAGCTCAGTGATCTCGGCGTATTGCTTGAATGCACCAGCAACCATATTGCACAACTTGCTTTCCGCTTTTAGTCCTTCTCGAGCAACCAAAGCTCCATATGGCGGAGGTATCTTCCCTCCTGGTTTTGCTGCTTGTGCTGGTGGGATGGCCGTCCATGGTGTCAAAGCGGCGAGAATCCAGGCAAGGTATTTGGCGTCATCTGATCGCACTAGCGATTTGTAAATCGAGTCTGGTGTTTCGTTCAATGTCATTTCCTTTAAGCAATCGTACACGGTTTTCCAGCTCGATGTATCTGGTGTTAGAACCTCATGTGCTGTAGGATCCGTGAATATTGTTGAATAGATACCAAGTCGATCAAAATAGTCCAAAGATTGCCATGGGTTATTTCCTGAAATTGGTAAGAAATAATTTCAAATATCAAACAATTGTCTGAATGACAGCTTGCTTACCTTTTAACATTTTCTCCACTTCAACCCCAACTCTTTCTCGACTGATCTTAAGTTTTAGAGCTTCCATGATAGTTGGATTACTCATACAATTTTCCGCCTCCGGATCAATTTTGAAATCTAGTCGACTAGCAAATCTGATTAATCTCAAAACTCGCAACGGATCATCCTTGAAAGTAGTGTATGGTTCAAGTGGTGTTTTGATGAGTTTGGCCTTCATATCCGCAAGTCCTCCAGTGAAATCTTCAAGAATATCTGTGTGAAGATTGTAGAATAGAGCATTGATCGTAGCATCCCGCCGGAGTGCATCCTCTTCTGCACTGCCGAATTCCATCTCAGGATTGCGACTATCTTCGGCGTAAGTTTCCTTGCGTAAGTTCACAAAATCCACATCGAACTGGAAGATGTTGGTAGTTGCAGTTTCCAATTGTTTGGACTTCTCTGGATTCGCAGCAATTTTGTATAGTTTTTTGACATCTTTAGCTTCCAGTCCATGTTTCTTGAGGTTTTCTGCATCTTCCAAATATTCCCGCATCTTCAGACCGAAGTTCTGCCCAGTCATGACA